GTTCTTACAAACCAGGGCTGAGAATCACATTCCCACATGAACTAGACAGGTAACATAAATGCTAAGCTATTTGAAGTTGGACCAAGTTACCTTCACTTGAAAAAAAAAAAAAAAAAAAAAAAAAAAAAAAAAAAAAAAAAAAAAATCAATGAACAAAACTCCTTGCAATGGACTTTTAACCTCCAAAACCTGTGATACTGGAGAGTTCCCAAAAGAGCAAGGGTTTTTCTTCCACGTGTAAATTTAAAACAAATATTAATTACAGATTTACTCATACAAAACAGACTTGTGCATAACGTTATCACAGATCAGTTTATTATTTTTAAAAGAGAAGAAAACAATGAAGAAGTTATAGTGAACAGAATATGATACGGAATGGAGAGTAAGAATTTACAAACACAGATGGAACTGGCAGTAAGCACATGAAGTCAAGAATCTTAAATTAACTAACAACAGAAAACAAATTCGCCTTCTCTGTGACAATTATGCTAACGATGCCCTTTCTCATGTGATAAATATCAACCTAATATTAAATGGATTTATGGAAAAATAGTTCCAAAAAATGTGATTAATAACAAACAGGTACTATAAAAGTCGGACAGCATTCCAGCAGCCCCTACTCCCGGGTACGTCGAAATCCCACTAAGTTCCTCTCAGAGCTTAATCCATGTTTCCTTGGGATTTTTAGAAGCTGCGTTTCTGACAAAACTAAAAAGCCCGGCCCTCAGGAGCCAGGTGACTAAGAAAAATGAAACCACATACAGTGCTGAAGTGGTTACTCTTCCTTCTTGTCAGGCATGCAGGTTTCCAGTGCAAGGGGGGTACACTGCCCCGTTATGCTGTGGGAGGAGGTGCAAACAGGCGTGGACTTAGGGCGCCTGCCTTCAGGACAGCTGAGGAGCTACTACTGCTTTGATCTCTTCAGATACTATTCTCAGTGGTGTTTAGTGTCAGTCTGTGTGTCAGATTTGCTTTTCCCCAAAAGGCACACAGGGGTATTGAACTTCCAGCGACCCCTTCCCATATTCTCGTCCGGGTTCATGTACTCCTGGAACCATGTCAGAGTAGGTTTGACAAAATTTCTGCAGAAGCAGGTGCTAGATGGATGGAATTAGCCTTACGCTTAAAGAACTAAGCTTCACTGGGTTCCTTTAAGGCGATGTATGGGAGCAGAGTTTGAGGTATGTGAACTCAAGACAGTAGAAGAGGAAGCCCGAGCTTTTACTCTCCCCAGAGGGATGCCTCGGGCTCTGTTGCAATTCAAACGGATAACCCTTTTGCATTAATCTGACGATAATCAGTATTTAAGACTTCATGTAAAAATGCTCAGGTAATTATCTTTAGTTGCGTTTGAATGAACAACATATTTATTATGGTCTGATTCGTTTCTGTTAACCTTTAATGCGAGATGCAGCTCTACAGAAAGCAGGAGCAGAGTGCCCCACACGGCATTCAGGTTCATTTACCTTCTGAACACTGAGGAATGTCACAGACTTCGTAGCGTACCTCTGGATTGCTTGTGAAACACCACGGTCCCCCTTCTTCCCCTCGAGGATTTCGACAGTAGTTTTCCTGTAGGTCTTTACCCCGATAGCTCGAAGGCAAAAAGCTAGTTTTAAAATGATAATCATCACAGTATAAGAGCATGCAACATTATTTTTGGCCTATTAATTTTACTAATTAGCGGGTATGTTTTTGCTGAAGTACAGAAATCATTCTAGCTTAGACTTCATATATATTAACTCGAGTTCTTTCAGTTTCATCCATTCTTAAAATACTTACATTTTATAAATACTCACCTAACTGAATTCCCACACTCAACACCATTAGCAATGACTCCTCTCTGGATATGCTAAGAGCCAATCATGCTAGAACCTAACTGACATTTTTTGAACCACAATTTCAAAGCTCCACTCAAAGACAGCGCGTGATTGAGCAAGGCCACTAGGAGAGAATGGAAGAAACACTGCAGAGGGCCTTGAACGCTCACGATTACAATGCTTATCCGAGGTAATTATTTGTTTGTTTATTGCTTTTCTTATGAAGAACAGCCCCCTTTGTTTCTGCACAGTTGAGAAACAGGTTGATGAAGTAACACAAAAGGTCTAGAATCACATTAAACCTGGATTCAAATTTCAGTTCTCTCTTCCCATCTGGTGAGCTCAGCAGGTAATTTAGCCTCTCAGCCAGTGTTAGCTTACCTGCACCCGGAGCATAACCATAACTTCATAACATCTTACACTTTATACGGTTGTTTTGAGAAGTTCAAAGAGTTGACCGAGTAATCAACAATCAATAAACGCTACTTATCATTAAGCGCTCTCTGCTTAGTCGCCTTTACCTTGTCATAATGAAACACAGAATTAATTATTTATTCTCTTCAAAAATTTGACTAATTTTCACTGTGACTGGGTTTGGTGCTTCCAGATTTAGTTCCTAATAGTTTGTCATTGGGTGCAGAGACTGTAATGCATTACATTCATTTGAAATTTCTAATTCCCTAGTTATAGTTTTCTTATTAGTATAAAGTATTTCAACACAATATCAGATAAATCCAAAGCCTCTTTTATTCTTTTGTACTTCTTGTGGCATTAGCCTCCTGATGCTTTCATCTGCTAGACTGCACACAAAAAACATCACAAGTAAGGAAGGATGTATATCTGTGAGTAACACTAAACACTTTTTTTAAAAAACTGGTTACATTTTTCAATATTCAGTTCAATTGTTGCTATAAAGCTTTATTTCTACTCTTACCGATTCTTGAATTCTAAATGGTTCTTAAGTTAGCGTGAAGTAAAAGGGCTTTAGTCTCTAAGTAAAAACCATTCAAATGTGTCTCCTGCCCATTGAAATGTATTTAGAAATCATCATTTTTTGGTTATTGTGACATAAAATATATATGGATGTTCACTGGGTACCAAACAATATTTTGCAATGAAATTCTTTCATTTGGACATGAAACACCCCATAGTAAAGTCTTCAGAAAATATAAATTATTGGTCAAAAAGAAAAAATCTATTTTAAGAGACTTAATGCTAACCATTTTCAAGGAAACTAAGTATTATAAATACTGTGAAACTCCAAAATGTTTTTAGACAGAGTTTATATCCATGCTACATTAGTTTTTTAAATATGGGGAAACAAAGATCAGACATTAGGCCATATGATTGACAAAAATTATAATACAATGAAAGCTTATCATGATTTCACAATTTCTAATGGTATTTAATTTTCAAAGGAAAGAGAAGTCCTTTTTTCTTATTTTAAGCCCTTTTATTCCAGAATAATTTAGGATACCATTTGTTTATTCCATTGCTTGAAATTTTCTTTCATTTTTGCCCATTTTCCAACTTTTCATAGTACATTTCTAACAAAATAGTCATTTTTCTGATAGAATCAAAACTGACCTTTACTTCAGATTTTTTTTTTCATAAAGTAATACCTAAATTTACCTAGGAAAATGTTCCTATAACCTTATTTAGTGAAAAAGTAGAGTAGTAATTTCGGGGGAATAATAGAATAATTAGCAAAGTAGTCTACAATCCTTAGAGAAGATTTTTGTTCTACACACACACACACACACACACACACACACACACATACCCCTTTCCTCTGGATTTGTAAAGCTAAAGAAAAGCTGGGAAAAGTAGTGAATGAATCGAATCAGTCAATGCTTTAGTTGTAAAAATACAAGTAAGGAAGAGAGAAAAAGTAGAGATCAAAACTAGATATGGCAGAAATATGAATAAAGTTTTATCAGGGGAGTTAATAAAATAAAACTGAAAAGAAAAGATACACTGCTTTCCGTATGAAATTCCCTCTTAGGACATGCAGAGTAAAGAGTCTGGTCATCTCTTCCTTTCATTCTTTGGTGTATTAAGGCTTTTTACCCAAATTAGCTGGTTTTCTTTTGTGTTCTGAGGGATAGCCTGCTTTTCTTTAGCATCCTAAACTTGATCAAGGGATGAAGCCAGCCCTGCTCTTTTCCCTTATATGTGTTCATTCAACCAAGGTTTATGAGAACCTATTACATACAAGCCCAGTCAATAGGCTCTGTAATAAACTTTTATTCACATATATACTATTTGTGTTTCTTTGTCCTTGTTAGCAATGCTTTAGGAGAGAGAGGAAATAAATATTTAAAACTGAGTTATATCCAAATATACTTTGAAATATAAATTAGATATTCTGAAGGCTAGCCACCTTTTCTTTTCTTTTCTTTTAATAGAAACTGCATTCATAGGAAACTTGATCTATTCCATCATCTGCTTCATTAATGAATGCTGGTGGCCAATGAAGGATATAGATGTAGATATCAAGTCACCTGAGTTTCTGGTTAAGCTTCTATACTAATTTAATCATCTATCATCATCTTCCCATTAAGCCACTTGTAAAATATTTCAATCTAGGAGTCAACAATAAATCACTCCTCCGGACAGATATACATATATATATATATTTTTTTTCCATTTCCCATAAAGTTAACCTGTAGGTAACACTTAACTTAAAAAACGGTAAGCTATCATGCAGATATTCCAATAAGCTGCTAATTGATGAAGATTAAGTGTTACTGTTGAATAAAAAAAGAGATTTGATTAAAAAACAAGATCTTCTCAGCCCTAAACCTCTATATCACAAGGAAATGTTTGTTGTTAAAATAGCTGATTGGACCGGGAAGCCAGTTCCCAGGGAGATCTGTTTCACATTTGCTCTTCTAGCAGAGAATCACAATCATAGAGAATTTGGGTTGAAATAAGACCTCTACTGGGTCAGTCCAGTGCACTCAACTACAGTAGGATTGATTTCAAATGCTATTTCTTTGTTAATGAAAAACTTAGATCTATCTATTTAAATAAAATGTTTTCTTCGTATGGTATCATGGGACAGACACCATGCAAATCCTTATAAGAGAATGAAACAATTATATTGTTTTCTTTTTGCTTTGTAATATAAGGATAATACTGTATTTCAGAGGTATTTGTGTATTATTATAAGTAACTAATGTGGGGAAAAATTAGTTTTTTGGTTATTGAAACCCTGTAAACTGATCAGCATGGACACTTACTAGCTGGTGTTAATTAGTCCAGATCCTGGGCTTGATCCCAGTGTGGAGCAACTAATTTTTTTTTCTCTCTGTGTGGGCCAATTAACTCATCTCTGTTTACAGAAGTAAAATCATCTTGAGTAATTGTGCCCCTCAAAAATGAATGAAATTGAATAAAAAGCAAATTAATCAAGACAAAGTCACCACCATTATTGCAAAAACAAGTCACGGCCTGTGACCTACTGCTCAGTGTTTCGTGTCCTGTTTCATGTTAAAAGCAAAGGTTATACAGTAACACTGGCTGAGCTCAAGATTCTGGCCACTGCACTTACTAGTTGTGCATGACCTTGAAAAGTTCCTAAGGCTCTTTCTTCTTTAGTTTTACCATATATAAAATAGAATTAATAAAACTACCCACTATGGGGTTCTTGGGGAATTAAATGAGATAAACGAGATAGACTGCTCCACAAGGTACGTGGCTCCTGGTACACTAAATCTTCCAATGCATTTAATAACCAGAGAGAATGGTTTTAAACTACTTCAGTTCCTGTTAAAATTATTTGTTAAATAAGTCTTGAAAAACTGTGTCTATATTTAGTTCCTTAGTGGGTATTAGAAATCTATGTTTTTCCTCCATGATGATTAAAACTCTCCGGCTAATGAGCCTATGGATGCTGTGTTTACTCATCTTTAAATAGCATTCATCTGTTATAATGAACACACTTCTCTGAAGTGTAGACATTTAATTTCCAAGGAATTAGAAGTTTGCTCCAGTCATTAGGCAAGAGGTGAAATGGGAAAACTGGTCAATCTGTGACATGAGTTATTAGCAGAGGTCCTCAATTTTGTCTGTGCTTTAAAAAAATACCAGTGCCTGAATTATTTCCCTAAAAGATTCTAATTTAATTGGTCTGTGTTGATGCCTAGGTAGCAGAATTTGTTAGGGGCTTATACTAGTTGTTTTTCATGCACCAACCAAGGTTGTGTACCACTATGGTCAGCCCCCAGGATCAGGTCAGAATCTGATCCACGGCCTATTTGTATCACAGTCAACCCTTTCACTCGAGCTGCAGAGGGCTGTACCTTCTTGAAGACAACAAGAGGGGAGAAATATATATACACATATATATTTTATCACATTATCATTACTTCTGCACAAACACAAGGTTTTGAGGTAAGATACTGTTCGGCCATATCTTAATGGCAAATTTATTCATCTTTGAATATCAGTCATGAATTCGCATAACCCTCGGCTTAATGCAATTCAGTAAAGTTGGTTAAATGATTATAGAACCGTAGATTATTCCAAAGGACTAACATGAGATTGCTAACACACATATAAAAAAGAAAGGCTCTGCCTTCTTTTCTTCATGCTTTTCTTACCTGTGTTCATGTGGTATCATGGAACTCCAGGGCTGGCATTTGATGCCACTCTTAGTGATAGATACTGTTCCCTTGTAGCTACCTCCTTTGCCAATGATGCAGTTTCTAATGTAGTCTATCAGAGGAAAGCAGAGAAAAGTTTTATAACTATGTGTAACATATGCTGTATATGTTAACAGAGACATTTCCATCCAAATCTTTAGGTAATTAATGTTTCTAAATTATCTCAAATCATACTGACCTTTCTGGCCTAAAGCTTCTATTATTTCAAAATAATACACTTCAGAATAATACAAAGCAAACAAACAAAAAAGACTACAGAGAAGTTTTAATTTTTGAGTCTGTTCCTGGATAACAGCTGAGATCAGTCCACGCTCTCAGTGTAGATTAGTCTGTATACTCAACTAGCCAGACAAATTTAATTTGGCAGAATGATTTGCTCAAAAATACAGACCATTTTAACAAAATATTAAAAATAAAAATTAAGTAATTTGCAAAATTTTTCAACTCAAAGAGTTACTTTAAGATAAAATAACTAACTTGTCTTTATCTCAATAAAATTTGGGTAGGTTTTTGTATGTGTATGTATATGTCTGAGTGATATATTATGTTGATTGTTCTAAATTTTTGCTAACTTTTCTGCTGCAACTACAGAGGAATTAAATTGAAACAGGCTGTATATTCCTATCAAATACTAGTACATAGAGCTGTTAGCAACCTAGAAAATTGAAACATGGTCTTATACAGATTATGAGTTATCTTTAGAATTTACAGAATTGTTGGGGTATATAGATCATCTTATTTTATTTTTTTAGGTCATCTTATTTTCTATCATAATTTTAATTTTAATTTAAACATCAACCTTATTAACAAGGAAGTATCTATATATATTACCAAATACTCAAATTTAATGGCGCAGTATGATTTTAAAACACATTAAGCTTGAAATCAGTACTATTATCATAAATACAATCCATAATTATGAATTTATGTGATAGGAGATCTATTTGGTAAAATTCACATTCATTTAACATTTGCCAGTTATTTCATTGATACAATTCTGCTTTGGATCAGAGTAAATACCTGTGAATACAGTATCAGATGAACAAAATAGGTATATTAACAAACAATATTATCTTATTATTTTAAAGATTTTTAAAGTATATAAGAAGGAAAATACAATTAATATTTCAAAATCTCCACGTTTTATTATTAGCAATCACCACTATACCATATCAGTTATTCAAAATTGTCAACATTTAAAATACTGTATAATAGGGGCGCCTGGGTGGCTTAGCCGGTTAAGCGTCCGACTTTCGCTTAGGTCATGATCTCGCGGTTCGTGGGTTTGAGCCCCGCGTCGGGCTCTGTGCTGACTGCCAGCTCAGAGCCTAGAGCCTGTTTCGGAGTCTGGGACTCCCTCTCTCTCTGACCCTCCCCTGCTCACGCTGTCTCTCTCTCTCTCTCTCTCTCTCTCCTAGAAATAAATAAAACATTAAAAATTTAAAAAAAAATAAATAAAATACTGTATAATAAGCTCAATCTACTATACTATATGAGATCCCTTAAACTACTAACTTAAGGTGGCACTTTCTAAAATGAACATGGAGAATATCAGTTCTAGGAGATGCTCCTAGAAATAAATGAAGAGGGAGGGGGCAATGTAATTATGGAGTGTTTGGGAAATGTTCTTTTTAAAATACTATATTGAAAATAATCAGGACGCTAATAGAAAAATCAGCAGGAAAGAGCACTGTGGCAGGAAATTACACATATTTTATACTTTATTTTGTTATGAAACATTTAGGGAGAAACCAGTTACCTTTGTTTTCATAGAGGTCGAATTCATGACCAAACTCTTTTTTCACTCCACTTGTCATGCTATTGAAAGGGAACCAGAGGCATCGTTTCCTTGCTTTATCAAAAACAAAGGCCCTGAAAAAAATATCTAAATGAAAAGAAGGAATACTACTATTTATACAGTTTTTAAAGAATGGGCATATGGTTTAGCCAAGGAGGGCAATATAAAAAGATACATGATTACATACGCATGATAAAAATATGAGTGATTTTTGAACCTACCATTTTGATGGCCAAAGAAAGAACACAATTAAGTTTTCATACACGTACAGAATGTATCAGAATAAGATTTGGAACGTTCTCATGTTATTCTAAATGATGTTTAGACAAATGAAGACCTAAATAAGCAAAATCAATATATAACACAACTGCTTGGATTATTAGTGAACACATTTTTTTGTAAGTACATAGCAAGTTGGAAGATTTTGTTTATAGTTATATACTAATGATTATATTTGTAATATCATGATTAACTTCCAAAGCTTGTACTTATATAAAGTGCATCCTAAAGTGACATTTCCTAAAATGCATTAGACATATCACCATCCAGGAGATTCTCCTAGCAAAAGGAGAATCAAACTGAAATCAAATGTTTGGAAAATTTTGCATATTATATCCCTTCTTGATGAGTTGTAAACCATGGAAGCTTATTAAAGCCATGAAAATCTTGTTATTAGGATAGCTGTGTATGTAAGTCAATGTTTCCTAAATAGATTTTCTAACATAGGAATGTTTAATTTAAAAAATCTATTAATAACACATAACATATGCTTTAGATATACCATCTTGAAGAAAATTACTAAAATGTGTCACTCCTACACTTATCACCCTGCAGCTAATTATTATATAGGATTTTGTTGTTAACTAAAAAAAAAGTCTTTCTAAAGTAAAATGACAAGTAGACAAAACCTTTAGCTGAGCATAGTAAAGAACTTGATAAAATTTTTGACATATTAAATGTCAAACATGTCTTACAATATGGAAAATGAAGTTGGAATTCTGACCTGTTTACCTTCCTTTAAGAAATGGTATTAAAGTTCTTTCTCACTACATTCATGCTAATCACTGTGTCATCACGTGCAAGTATTTAATTAAAAGAAATACAGATTTTCTAAGAAGAAGCATTTTTCACTTCTAATCCATATACTGCTTTGAGAACATATAGTTTTCTTATAATTTTAGATAGCCCAAGTTAGTCATTTATTTCTTCGTAATTTGCCAACTTTAAAGAATCTTAAATAAGGGGAAATAAGTTTTATGAAACATAAAATCTATTTTAAAGTTATTTGAAACATTTTATCTATCATCTCTATTTTTATTTATTCTATTTCCAAAATACCAAAAAATTATATTCGTGAAATTTGTGCTTAAAGACATGTTGAAATATTTACCTACAAGAACATTTACAGCTGAAATAGTAATTAAGAGAAAATCATAAAAGTATATTTTTGCAGTGGTGGCAGAATAACTTATGGGACAATTGGCTAAAAAGAGACTTGAATTTTGATCTGGTAGACTGTAGGCTTATGCAATATGTGTTAAATTCCCTATTACTCTATTGTAGCATGTTGGGGGGGGGGCGCATGTTAAATGACTTTGAAAGCATAGTAATCAGAAAAGAACTCATATAAAGATAAACTAAACAAACATCTAAGTACAAATTTTTAAGCTACAGAATCAATAACTTGCCACTTAACTTCACATTAAAATTTATAATTTTGGGGTGCCTGGTATGCTTAGTTGGTTATAAGCATCTGACTTCAGCTCAGGTGATGATCTCAAGGTTTGTGAGTTCGAGCCCCACTTTGGGCTCTGTGCTGATAGCTCAGAGCCTGGAGCCTCTTTGGTTTCTGTGTCTCATTCTCTCTCTGCCCCTTCCCCAACTTGTGCCCTGTCTCTCAAAAATAAAGAATTGTAAAAAAATTTTTCAAATAAAATCATACCACACATATATAAACTACTCATCAACTAATAATATGGCTTTGACATGAGAATGCCTTGGAGGTGACTCATGAGTCCCATCAGGAACATACAAGCTTTGCCTCTGTGAATACACAGGTGATTGCATCCGCAAAACAGGTATCAGAATTTCCAGCTTGCTAACTCCAATCACCCTTTGCTCTCATTCCATTGTAATGCCATATTCTCTCAGAAAAGTGTTTCCTTGTCTCACTTTATGCCTCCAAATAGAATGGATCCAAACAGTCAGATTCTAGAGTTGCATCTTAACTAAGTTTGACTTGAAGAGTCTTTATCTTATCCTTATTTTAATTATCATATTTCTTTCAAGAACAAAATTAAGTTTTCACACATGTAGATCTTTTTTTGCCTAGTTTTCTCATTATATTTGTCAGAAACGCAAATCCAATACCAGTTACTCAGTCATGGGTAGAAGAAGAAAGCCTCATATTTTCTTCTCTTGAGTCAAGTCATGGATTGGAATTTTCTGAGGAGCTTAGAATCAGGCATTTTGGTCATCTTTCCTACTCAGCAAAAAAAGAACTTCAATCTCTATAAAATTAATATTGTTGATACTTTCTCAGGTGGAGATAGTGTTTGAGAAAATTCCACCCTGCACCCACTGAATCACAGATGCTTTCATAAAGTGTTGTTGATATTTCCCAAGCATTTTGGCATATTTGCCATTGTTTTTCATTGATTCTAGTCCATATAACAAGCCTGCAGAAAGATCCTTTAATTCATTAAGAGTATAATTTCAAACTATCACAGTATGGCCATTCAATTCTGAATGACTAATGTACTTAGTGATTTCAAACACATATGTATATTTGGGATAGACAAGTGAGAAGGATGACACATTTCTGGACAGAGGAACTTGGGCTGTACAAAGGTTTTCTACATGTGGTTTTCTGCACAGGTTGCCATAAATTTGGAAACTAAATATAACTCAACCAGAATATAGTAGGAAAGTATGAAACTTCATACGGGGGATATGTAAAGATTTTTAATCAGGTCACATGTGTTCTTTAATGTAGCAAACGCATTTTAGTTCCTCCTAAATAAAACAAAGGGAAAAGTTTTTCTTTTGTTTTGTTTTCTAGAGATAAGGTGTGAAAATCGAGAGGTCAAAATGCCTTTCTTATGGATTCAAGAAGTGTGTTTTCAGATTCAGAGTTAAAAATCAATAATGAGATGAACCTCTCCCATTTCCTTCAACTCACCTTCCCAAGCCTGTGAGAGAAAAATATAATAAATCTAACCTCCTCAACTGCAAGAAGAACATCACCGTAAATCTACGCAGCTATGACGTTGATTGAGAGTAGTTTTCTATAATTCATGTTTAACAATCTCAAGCAGGAAAGTCAGGGAAAGAAACAGAATTATCACAGGAATATACATGCAAAGCCAATTCCCCACTCTCTTGGCCAGGAAATCTCTCCCAGAAAGTGGCAGTTTGGCAAGAAAAACACTTCCAGAGGAGTTATAAATGAGTAGAAAGGAGATAGTCTCTCTTCCTCTACGTCTGTCTATGACCTTCCCTGACCATGCCCTTTCCCTCAGGCCCATACACTCACTTATCTGAAAAAAAGGCAAGATGAAATTAGGGTCACTTGCCACGACATTACTAAAATCTGTATTCACATGACATGGCACTGACCAAATGCAATCACTAGTAGAATTCAAAACTGACAAGATCTCATGCTCAAACCGGTCAAAAATAGAATGAGATAGAGAATAAAGGGGTGTCAGGTAAGTGAGGGGCTGGGGTGTTTATGAGGAAGAATGAGGAAATGCATTTTCATCTGGCAATTCAGAAAATTATTCAGATGTAATTGTCTCCTTCAAGGCCTGAAATTCCCAAATTTTATCCTTGGGCTCACTGGCAAAGCAGGAAGGAGTTCTTCCCTGTGAGGTTACGCAGGTAATTACAAAAGATAAGAAAAGTCTCCGTTGGAATCCCCTCATGCCTCTTTGAATTGCCCCATCACTTTTCACCTAAAACTTCATCATCCCTATCCCCTAACTCTTTTCGAATAGCCTTTGCTGCTGACACCAATCCCTCTAGTCTTTTAATCTAATTCTCTCAACACCTTTTATTTCAATCCCGTAAGACAATGATGTAAGTTGCAGTAAATTCTGGCTCTTACCCAGTTTATATCTGAAAATTCCTCCACTCCTCTTGCAATAAAAGATATATATTTACTGAATAGAATACTTTAAAATGTTGGATAAAAGGCAATCTAATTGAATTTTAGTTTCTAAAGTTCAACTATTCGTAAGATGAGAAAACACAAATTCCTTAGCCAAAGGCACTGTGGATTCTAAAAGATAGCAGTTTATGTGCACTCCCTTACATATCTATCAACTGGGAGCAACATCTTCTGTTATAATGAGTGAAAACTCAAGTCAGGCTTATACTTTTGAGGGCAAATTACACTGAACACAAAAAATGGGGAGAACCATGATGATAACTAGTAGATGCTATATTTGCAAAGTTATCCTAAGAACAAAATGAAGCAACTTACTTGCAAGTGAATGGAAGTCCTTTATTCCTAATACATCTATTGGCACATTGGTCTGCAGAGTTCATTTTTTTTGTTTTTATCTTCAGTAATGGGTCTTCTTTAATTAGAGTAGTCTTTGCTGACTTTTTGAATTCATGAAGTGTGTTTCTTCTTTTCTTCTGTCCCTCTATTAATAATAATAATTTTTTTTAAAAAAATGGAGAAAACAGCTTTTAAGGCTCACATAAAAAAATGTCCTTTGGGATCATCCACAAGATAGTGATTTTATCTGACAACATACTAGATCTCAGGGGTTGGGGTTGATGTGAGGTGGGGATTGATACTCTCAGATAGTTAAGAGCAAGAGAGGAATATTGTAATCAGTGAAGAATAAATAACTTGTCACGTAGAGTCACTCATCTACATTCTTTAAAATGAAATATGGTTTTAAAAATTAGGACAGAGTTCACTCTAAAGAAATAAATGACATGATATTCTCCAAACAGTATGTAAGCAAATGCCTGGGCTTAGTATATCATGCTCTGTAATTAAATTTGTCATTTCCTTCTACAGTTTGCCCTTATGTAAGTTATAGTATTAATTAGACAAGCCAATTCAATTACATATGAGAAACTTCTCACTAAAAATGGTGCAGTGGATAAATTCTTCTGACTCTCTTTAAAGTATTTCATATTATTCATATTTTAGCCCTTCTCATTTCCTACATAAGTGTTTTCTGTGCTTTAGGGCACTATTTCTTAGTATTACTGGATTGTTTGTCTTGAAATCAAGCCAAATGCTATAAATCAAATGTGTGTAAAACTTCATCCTTTAATGTAGCAATATCATTTTTCTTCATGAAAGTATTCTACAAAGCCCCTAGATAGCATGAAGCCTCCTACTAAAAACATAAAAACCGATCTAAAACATCCTAAAAGACTTCATCTTATAGATAACTTCAGAGTATCAAGCGCTTAATTCTTTATGCTCAGTTTGCCCAAAGTTACCTAGTTTCTAGCGATGGTCACTATCTTCACAAAGAGGACCCAAGTGTCTAAGAGATTGCACCTCTTGTGTATTGAGGAGAGGCATGGTTGTGGCTCTCTTCTGCCTACCAGTTCTTTTGAACATCCTTATAACAAAGGTGGTAATAATATATTCATTCTTAAGAGGAAGAAGCCAAGACACAGGGAAAAATTAACTGCCCCTTAGGCAAAACTCATTTGAAACCCAGCTGCCTTGCTTCTGAACCTCCATTCTTAAACACTCACGATGCCGTCTTTTTTTAAAAAGAAGCATAACAGAGTATGTAGAAATATGGCTTATAAATAATTTTTGAAGATCTGGTTTAAAGCTATCAGTAGAGAAGAAGTTTGGATGGTACGACAGGAAATGCATTCCTGCTCTTTATACGTGGCGAAATGTGCCAAGAAAAGAGGGTGAAATTTTTGTGCAGAAAATTTGGAAATACGGCTAGCAGAGTGAGGTACAAACAATGGCATCATACTCTCAAAGTTGCCAGCAACCACTGGCTCCAGTTGGTTTATTAAACTTGCAGATGCTATTCATTAATGTCTATCCTAACCTGAAGTCCACAATAAATATGAGAAAACATGAAGTCCTCTAAATTTCTGGTTCTCTGTAAAACTCCAGAACACAATCCCCAAAAGACTGGTACTAATTTCTGTAATAATGTTTTCATTTTTAACTTTTCTTTGTCCTACAAGACGGAATGGCTATGGTACAACAGATATAATTCAAAAGACATTTTAACATAGAAATTCAATCAACCAAATAATCTATCAACATGTTATTTATTGAGTGTGGACCAAATGCCTTGCATAACGTTGGCAGACAGAGGATAATTCTGGCATTCTGACTGACTTGCCAAATGACTTTGTTTAATTACCTGAAGTGCTAATATACCAATTAATCACTCTACAAAATGAAAGTTATACTATATCTGAAGCTATTTAAACTATGATTATTAAGTAAATATTTGGAAGTTAATCTGGATAAAAAAATGTTATAAATATGCAGAGTTTCAGCTTTGTTTTTGAAATTCCATTCTTTAATTTCTGGCATAGAGAAGAACTTGTCATTCTCCCAAGCAAAGAAGTGGTATAATTCTTTACACATTTTGGTTTCTGCCACAGGACCATGTAATGGGAGATACCTTTCTACAAGAAGAGTTTCTTCCTTTGACCATAATGCACTATTTCTTAGGAGCTATGAAATGTTTCACAGCATAATAAGCATCTGATTTCCTATATAAATTTGAGTATTTCTTAGAAACAAATAGTAGTTAATGGATGCTGAAAATCCAATAAATAAAACTGTTGGTTAAAGGGAATGTGCATGTATACTACCTGTGTGTGTAGTGCCTTATGCATGTATTTATTATACATGTCTAAGTGTGAGAGAAGAGTGTAAAGCTAAATTTTAGAAGCCCAAGGCAAACATTAAATTAAGATATGCATTTTACTATTTATCAAATAAAATAAAAGAGAAGCCCTTGTCAATGCCCCAGTTTCTTTTCTCAATATCATGCAATATGAAGGCAAGTTCTGAGAACCACTATCGAGAAAAGAGGTCTCTGTGGGATTATTGTTCGTGTTTAAGTCTATAGACCCTCAGTTGTCTTATTGAAATGCGTTAATGTGTGGCTGTATCTCATAAAAGTACTGTAACTCTTGCCTGCTGATAAGTTTCTCCGTCACCACCTTTCATCTAAAGATCAAAAAGCATTCAGAAGAGCAAATAAATCTATGATTTTTCCTTTACTGGATAATAGACAGGAGTGAAAAACTTGTCTGGGGCTACAGAGTTAATCAAAGGCAAAGGGAACCAAGTATCAGAATTCCCCTTCACTATTTATTTCTCATGATTTAGAAGCTGTCCCTTATAATTTAGTCATTTCTACTAGGTCAGTAACAAATTACTCAAAAATGTGACGTTCAAGGTAGTTGTGCGCCATGTAATCCAGGCATCTATAAGACTAATTTCTTCTTCAATAAAAGAAAAATGCAAAACAGAAGTCATTCAAAAACAGAATGTGAAAATAAAACTCCTTTGCTGAAAATAGTTTCAACTTTTTTTTCCATATGTATTAGCAACTGATGCTTGTTTTACTGAAAACAGTTAAAAGACCATCTTAATTTGGGAAGAAACTAAAAAAAAAAAATATCTTTGGATCAGATTTTTCTCTACTATTTTTTGTGCATAACTATTAGTTGAAGTTTATAAACAAAATATTGAAATGAAATCAAAGGGTGAGAGATCACTGCAACTTTGTCATGCTTTCTTGTACTTGAAATTAAAACTCCTTTCTCCTTTTCTCCCAGTATGGGAAAACATTCTGGAAGCTATATTTCTTGAAGAACTTGAAATCCCTATTTTAGAACTGAAATCATTAGGATCTTAGTGAAAACCTACAAACAGAAAGTAGGGTCAAATGTATCAAGGTGCTTGAAGAAAGACACATTTCTCCCTCTGGTCCCTGGCCTCACACTCATTTCTCTCAGTACCTCATATATTTTCTTCTCTATATGGTCCAACCATTGACTTCAAAGGAAAATCATGCAAGGGAAGGATTTGCAGGGTGTGGAAAGAAGCAGGAATCTGGCTCCGCATATTCTGAGAAACCTACCCACATGATTAGTGATTAACAGCTTGAGGTGGCAAGATGTTAAGATGAAAGTACACAAATAATTAATGGAGGGAACGGTTGTGGCTGGAGACGTTAACCTTCCCAAAGACAAGAATCATAAATACTAGTCCACATTTTCATTTTCATTGCTGTTATCTAAGGACTTGGATTTCACAGTTGGTATTTGAAATGCAGTGAAATAATCTCTTCCAAAGAGAACGGAGGATAGTCAAGGTGAGATTCAGTGCCTCCCTTCTTCACCTTCATCCGGCTTCCTTGTTCACTGTCATTGTCATAGAAGCCTCCTGCTGGTCTCCTCCCTGACTATTTCTTCCACAACTGTTCCTCTACGGAGTGACCAAAACAACCACACTGAAGTACAGCTTAAGACAGGTATCTTGTCAATTCCAAAATTCCCAACTGCTACCCATGATGTTCAGGATACTTTGGCACAAAATTCATGCTTGTTCATGCTACCTTGTTTCATTTTCTAATCACAGGCCCTGCTAACTCCCTCTTGGTACTCAGTATACCAATCCCACATGGTTACCTGAGCTCATACTTCCTCACCTCCATGTCCTTGGCCACTCTCTGTTTCCTGACTTAGGTACTGACCATACTACCATCCATCTTTTCATACTCAACCCGGGTACCACATTTTCTCCAAACACCTAACACTAGAAATGAACTCTCAGTCATAGTATAATAGTATTTCCAACACAGAGTTTTTCTTACTTTACTTAGCAAAATGGATTTTTAAAAGGCAATTTCAGTTGATTTCATGGCTTCTGGCTTCATTATAAATAAAAGAAGAGAAAAACAGCACATATTTCATTCTCATAGATTTGAGTAGAAATCTCAGCTCTTGTCCCTTTACTATGAAAAGATGATTACCGTCTTTAAACTCAATTTCCCCCATGTAAAAGGAGCTGAATAATGTCAATCTTATCAGAACTAAGTAAGTTTTTTAGAGCTTGGCCCATACAGTTGCTCAACAAATGTGGGTTTCTTCTGCATTTGTTCATCTTTATATCCCTCACAGGTTCATGGACATCAGGTGCTTATTTAATGCTTCTTTTGTTACAGGGGCCTGGATATTAGTTTCCAGTGTAGGTAGAAGTGCATAGAGGTTAGTTCTATGTAGACCAACTCCTATAAGGATGGCTTGGGTCACTATATTGCATATTTCTTAGGAAACTTTTCAATAAAGTATCTCCATAAGACATCTTGCTCATGATTGATTGTCACCTCGTTTTAGTACCTACTTGCATTCTCACATTGTATTATTTTACAATGTGTACGAATATAGACTCATAAGATTAATCTAAAAGTATAACCAAAGCAATTAACAACAAAACCCCTAAGTGTTCAATGTGAGATGATATAAAAAAGGACCAACTTTCTTTGTATGTTCTAAGAGGGTTGTCCATAGTCTCCATTTTGGGGAAAGTCATAAAAAAAACCTATCAAAATAAACTTACCACCCAAACCAAGCCAGACCCTCTTTTGATGACAATTTTAGCATTATCCACTTCAGGAATTATTCACAGCATATCTGGAATCCCCAGTTGGCCTCTCCTTGCCTGCCAGCACACTCTGGGGCTGCATTCTCCCTATACTCAGGAAACGCAGTCATTTCAACGTTAGCCAAAGTGAAATATCATTACGAATGTATATCTCCTGCCAAAACTCCGTAATGTGTGCCAAAAACAAATAGACATTGTCTATGGTTGATCTACTGTTTGGGTTTTCCACATCGTGTTTTTCTCGCATTAGTACAGATGATTTCCAGGTAAAACCATATTATACTTCAGACCATCAACATTCGAATCTTAAAAAAGAAAAGCCCCCAAGATATTAGCCATGCTCTCGATTTAAGCTCCAAACCTCCTAAAATCAACAATGTCTTATGAGAGTGCATTTTAGCATGACACACCTCAGGCACGATAACCTCTTTGATTGAGCTAACTTCTTTATCACCTCTTTCAGAAATCTTGCCCACATGTTTCCAAACTGGCCATTCCCACACAATGTTGTTCTCAAGAGGACCACTTCACAAAATTGAGTAAGAAGGCAAGGTGGGCTGAATGTTTTTCCTTGTCACTTAGCAAATTCTTGATGTTTTCAACCCTTGCATTACATCAGACACTAGACCAGAGTTACGATAAATTTCATATTTAACTTATCTCAAAAGATGGCCAGTTCTCTGGTTTGCATTGTGAAAAGGCCACGTCTATCACGTGGGCATTTGTTCCATTCTTTTATTCCCCTGTGCCCAGCCATGGGGCTCACTACCTTCTCCCGTTGGCACCTCAGCCACTACAATGATAATACGACCAAATACAGATGTTTCCTCTTGCCCTGATAACAACAGAAAACTTTGCAAAGCGGCAAATAAAATCTCTACACTTCCAGGAAGGTAGTATGAACTCCACAGCAATTCCTTCCCAACCTGCAAATTCAGAGGCGAAAATGAGAGGCTGAAAGGTTCCCTTCTGCAGCTTTAATCAGAGTCACACAATCTTTGCCTCCCAGGCACTGCAGTTTCACAGGGCAGACATCCATACCCAGACAGAATGAGATCTTAGAAGAGAGGCTTTCTCTTTCATTTTTATAACATGCATATACTCAGGGCTTCATCTGCCTTCTCCAAGTGAAAACCTGTATCAAGTCTTCATGTAGCCCCCAATGTTGACTGAGTGACGTGGGGTGGTGGAAGGTCATGGACAATGATCCTCTGGAAAGAAGTGAGTCCCTGCTGTACTGACAATCCCTCTCCCCTCCTCAGACCAGACCTTCTGTTCAGCCTTCAACTTATCCAAACCAGCAAAATCCCAGCCAGTGTTCGCACTTCATTCCTGTCCCACAGGCCACAACTAAGAGGCTCAGTGAGCCCCTGGGTGGGATTGGGGAGGGGGGGCACTGAGGGGATGGTAATTATCATTGTAAATGCCTTGCAAACAGAAAAAGAGTATCAAAAGGAAGCACAAGGAGAGGCTGAAAGGACCCTAGCCACACACTGAGCGAAGGAAGGATGCTGGGGACCGGGTGCAGGGAGTGTCAGGAAAAGGCAAGGTTAGCAGGAGAGAGTTAAAATAATGGGGAAGAGGAAACAGAGAAGACTAACCTGCACAGGGGGTGGGAAGCAGAAGGAGATGGAGAAGGACGTGCTGCAGCAGCAGGACTGGCAGAAGTTTGGTCCCCCACATGGTGCTGCTGGCCGTGCTGGCGGGTCCCACTGGACGAGATGCCTGGCTGAGAGAAGCCTGTTCCGACTCAGTGCCTAGAAGAACCGGTCGGCTCTGAGCCGCTTTTTATTGCGATGAGCTAAGTTTGTTGTGTGATTAACTGGAAAGATCTAGGTCTGAACTCCCTCTTACGGTAAGAAACTGTTTAACAACAGCCCTTTACTCTCTTCCACCCCCTTCCTTTCCTCACTAGCCACCCCCCACAACAACACCAAAGAGATCCCAGCTCCCCGCAGCCCCCCCCCCCCCCACCTCTCCTTAGGAAAGAAACTTACAAAGAAAAGGTCACCTGGCCTGAGGCCAGCTCAGTTTGGAAGCTCGAGCTCCAGATCCCTGTGGCTCCTATCTGAAGAGGGAAGGGAGGAGCAAGGCTCAGCCCAATAGCTAAATCAAGGGACAGGCAGAGGACCAATTCGCTAAATTTAAACAGGAAAATACATGTGTTTACATGTCTCTTTGGGAAAAGAGGAAGGGGAAGCAGCATAAGAAGAAAGCGAAGAGCTGCCTTTCAGTCAAACGTGTTTTAGCTCCTAATCTGTCTAGTTTCACTGCTGGAGCAAACTAGGGATTCAGAACCCTAGCTCAGGTTCCTTGGGGTGTCAGAACTGGAGGGGGGCAGGGAGGCAGGCGAGGGGGTAGAACCAGGTGGGTCCAGCCCAGGTAAAAGGGGGTTAGGGAAGAAAAGGGTGTGGTATTGTGGGGTAAAAATAAATAAATAAATAAATAAATAAATAAATAAATAAAAGCACCTCCAGTGTCCGGTAAGAAAATTGCCCCAGCCCAACATGCTCAGGACAGGCGGCTTTTTTCAGAAGCTGCACTGGCTCTGCAATCACCACAAATGTGCCTGAAGTGTATAAAATAAACTTGTCTGATTGAGGGTCGGCAATAAAATCTCTTCATACTCTCTCTTAAAATGTCTAAGAGATTAGGATTATCACTGCCTGTCCCTGACAGATAAATGTACCATGGACTCTGTGTCTTTAACACACACACACACACACACACACACACACCACTGTCACGCATGTATGTCTATATGATGCGCATATCTTCTAAGACTGACTTTCACTGGAAATTTCTTAATCTGTTTTAATTCATAAATAACTAAAGTGCCTCTCTTCTCCAGTTCCATCACTCTGAACGCACCCAGCAGCCCCTAACTCTACACTGAGAGATAAGGGGCTTGCCGGGGGCTGGCAGGAGTGCGGAGGACCCATGGCTGCAGAATCCGTGAGATCATTGCTCCGAAGGCTCATTTTATTGAAAGGATTTGTCTTTGCATCGCCAGGTGGTGCTCAGATGACTTTAGGCTAGATAGATTCCCTTTGCTTTCTTTTGGATGGATTTGGGGGAATGGTTGCCCCATGCGTCTCTGAGATGGGTGCAAGTAGGAAGGAATCAGTGTCTCCCCCGGCAGAGGAAGAGATAGTGGGTGTGATGCGAAAATGACCCAGGACCGCATACAGCTTGGACAGTAGTGTATGTGAGCAAAATTAAAGCCATCCTCACAACAGCCTTCCCTCCGAGCAGGGCTCTCATCTCTCCTCCTCCAGCTCCGCCCCCCTCCCCCTCCAGAAAACACCCATGGCTTAGGATTGCTAGAGGAGTTTGGGTTTAAGAGAATTACTTTAAAGCAATCTGTACATTATATTACCTTTTTCTATAGTAAATCCTTCTCTTTAACCATTTCCTCCTTGTAGAAACAAAACCAAGCAAACTGAAAAATCATTTGGTAGCCTCTCCCTAGTGTCTCAAGTGTCCATTTTACTTTCCTTTTTACTTTGCGATATACTTTTTTGAAAAATCTCAATGTCAGTGTATGGCCTGACCATAATCTTGAAATGCCCTATAGCCACTCTTGTGCTTTATTAATATGGATTCAAACTCCTTGTAAAGAAGTTAGATTTTTCTATAAATAGATACTTGTAGGTAAAGAATGAAGGGGACCAAGCTTTCTATTTGTTTTCCCTCTCTCAGAGAAAGCAGAATCAGAGCCTTAAGTATGATTGCAATTATCATTATAGGTTTGGAGCAAAATCCCTCCTGGTAAGAGAGTCAAGGCACCGCAAGGAAGTTGAATAAACTTGTTTAATAGGGCACACATTTTCACAATTCTAAATGCAATAAATGTTTAAATCTATCTATACTTCTGTTTATATTTCTCTTTTGACAAGTTAGTTGGTTCCTCTATGTTAAAATGATATCTAATATGTACTGAGCTTTTTAGGGTATGCTAAGCATTGTGACAAATACTCTTTAAAATTTGTCTTAACACTTACAATTTTTTTAAGTTTATTTATTGATTCAGAGAGAGAAGGAGAACGTGTGCGCGCACACACATGAGCGGGGGAGGGGCAGAGAACGAGGGAAACAGAGAATCCCAAGCAGGCTCTGTGCTAACAGTGGGGCAAACTCACGAACCAAACAGTGAGATCCTGACTTGAGATGAAATCAAGAGTTGGAGGCTTAACTGACTGAGCCCCCCAGGTGCCCCAACTTATAATAAACTTTGTTTGAAAGAATTCATAATTCCCATTTTACAGTTGAGGTAACTGAAGTAAACTATTTCTATCCTGAAATGACTTCCACAAGTCATTTCCAAAAGGAATAAAGATCCAAGGGTGAGATTTGAACAGTTTGTCAGATTCCATAGCATGGAGAAATTTCGGTAAGCCCCGTGAGAAGAACCACCTGTCTTTCATTTAAGATTATAATCACCAATATTAGCTCAGGATGGAACACATAAGAGATGCTAAATAATAACCTACAAAACAAACCAAAATATAAATAACTTAAAATCTCCCAAAACTGTAAACAAGTGTGCAAATGAAATAAATTATTAATTGTGCTATTATTTTACTTTGTCTTGATAACACATTCCCTTTGTTCTTTCTGAGTTATAGTAATGATGATCAGCCCTTGCTATTGCCTGTATACTCCTTAGGTCTTAAACTGTTCACACAAATCCCCCAAAATGTGTCTGAAAATGTTTTGATGACTCAGAGAATCTTGTAAGCAGAATATTTTAATTGCCACAATCTGTGTAATTACTTAAATACAGGAGGAATACTCATTGCCAAGATAAGATTGAAGTCTCTTGTAAACCCTGTAATGCTAGATGGGTTAGTTGGGAAAAGACACATTGTTGTATACATTGTTGTTGTTTCAAAAGGCTGCACATAGTTAAAAAAAATTGTATCTGGCAAAAGCCTATGTTTCTCAAGGGTAAGTGACGTTTGCATTTGTAAATGGGGAAGAAGCCGATATAATTTTGTGCTTTGCAGACCACGGATGAGTTGGGTGCTCTTACGCTCACCATTTCATTTGTTAAATGACTGGCACATGTGTGGTGTCATTCTGTTTAGTGCTTCTACTTCTATGGACTCAGTTTAATCATATACTTGGTTTCAGATCCCAGCTATCTCACGTAATGTGTCACTAATTGAGAAAATTAATTAAACCCCTTCTATCTCAGTTTTCCTACTATAGAAATGGGACACTATGTGCCAAATCTCAAATGTATTATCTCACTTGACGCCCCCCCACCTAAAAATAAGAGATATATGTATATCTAACAGGTATACATTTCTATTGTCACAGATTTATAGACAAAGAAAGTAAGATTTGGAGATTATATATAACTAGCATGAGGTTAAACTGTTAATAAGGTGTGACTCGAAGCCACAGCTATCCAGGTATCAAGGCACCACATTGACAGAAATCCAGCTTGAGCGATTTCCAACATCCTTCTCAGCTTTAAAAACGTGATTATTCTATGTAACAGAAGTCTTTTGTGGTCATCATACTTTTATACAATTCTTACCTTCCACATCTCAGACAGAAGCACCTGAATAATTTTTAGTATTGCTTATCTTCCCCATGCAACCTTATCTTCTCATTCTTTCCCTCCTTATTTGTTCCTTCTCCTTAATGGTAATTTTTCATCTATAGGCTTCACTACTGAAGAATTCATGTTGACTACCTTTAATGCAGGAAATATTGCAAAATTCACTTTAATTTGCATTAATTTCTTTTACATAATATAGCTCATTTCAGAGCGTGTGTATAAAATGTTGGTCAACACATTAATTTGCCTTGCCTTAAGTCCAAGATGCAATCATCTGAACGTCTGTGTTCCCCTAAAATCCTGAACCCTGAAATCCTAACACCCAGAGATGATAGTATTAGGAGGTGGGAGCTTTGGGTGGAGCCCTCGTGAATGGGATTAGTGCCTCTAAAAAGAGATGCCAGAGAGATTGCTTGCCTCTTCCACCATGTGAGGACACTGCAGTGCACCATCTGTGAACCAGAAAGTGGGCCCTCACCAGACTAAATCTGCTGGTGCCCTGATCTTGAACTTTGAGCATCCAGACCTGTAGGAAATAAATTTCTTCTGTTTGTAAGCCACTCATTCTGTAGCATTTTCTTGTAGCAGCCTAAATGGACTCAGACGCAGGCATCTTTAATAGGAGCTCCTAATGAAGAAGGAATATATTCCAGGGATAGAAAATTGTCACTGGGTAATTGCTGTCCAGAAAACAAAATTTAAAAGTTTGTCTAATGTCTAGCACCGAATGGTTATTCAACTAAAACTTTGGATCATATAAATAACATTTTTAAATTTTTTGTTTATTTATTTTGAGAGTGAGAGCGAGAGCGAGAGAGAGAGAGAGAGAGAGAGAGAGAGGAGAGAGAGAGGAAAAGTGGGGGAGAGGCATAGAGAAGAGACAGAATCCCAAGCAGGCTCTGCACCATCAGCACAGGGCTGGGACTCAACACAAACTGTGAGATCATGACCTGAGCTGAGATCAAGACTCAGATGCTTAACTGACTGAGACACCCAAGTGCCCTCAGATAAATAGCATTTTTTAAAACATGAAGTAGAATCAAGGAACAATATGAAACAAGCAGATATGGTGGCATATTCATTTGAAAAAATTGTTCGAGAGTAGGTGAGTGGTCACACAGAAGCCC